ATATATATATATATATATATATATATATACATACATGTATGTATATATATATACATACATACATACATATATATACATATCCCATCAAATATATAACAACAAATATATATATCCCATCAAACCGGGAAACCTCAGAAGACCCCAAAATGTTTAGAACTGAGGTCTGTGACCCCCTAAGGCATAAAACAACAGCATATACATGTCTATATATATATATATACATACAAAATTCCACACAGAATATGAATAATATATACATAAGTAGCTATAAGTATATATATATAGGTCTAAAATAAGTGACAGTGACTTTTTTTGCGACCACTTATTGGTTGTGCTTCTATCTTACTTATTTATTTATTTATTTGTTTGGTTTATTATTATATTATTATTTATTATTTTATTTACTTTGTTGCTTTGGATAAAATCATCTGTTAAATGCATAAATATAAACATAGTTTTATCATTTAAAAAATGACTTTGGTGAACAGGAAAGTTTCTTCATTAGTGGTTAAACTGATTTGTGGGACTGTTTAAATCAGAGGTGACAAACTCAAAAACACAGTGGGCCAAAATATAAAACCTAGATTGAACAAATGAACCTTTTAATATGGAACAAAACAAATGTTTGCTTTAAAATTGAATATGGAAGCCACGAACACTTATTACATTATATATAACTTAATATTGGAGACATGTAAAATCAAATTTCAAATAAAAAACACATCAATGGCATTCATTTATTAAATAACATTTTAAAATATTTTTCTATTCGCAGCCTTCTGAATCAAATATAAAAATGAGATTATCTTGTCCAGAAAGCTCCTGTTTCTTTCTTTGGGTCATTTTTGGTCATTAGCACAGTGACGGCTGTAGTGTGTAGCTACAAGTGTACCTGGTTAAATAAAGGTTAAATAAATAAAATAAACTGTCACAGAGGAGTTTCTGGGTCCTGAACAGCAGCAGGGCATTATGGGAGTTGTAGTACGAGCTTTTTTTATTCGTTTTATTTGTAAGGCTATTGAGTGTAATAGTTTTATCTATTTGTTTTGTTAATTCGTTTTATTTCTACATTATTATTTGAAATTGTAATCATTGTTTTTGTTTTATGTATGTACTATTTGAATTTATTTATTTTTTTCAAATTAAAATTAAATTTTAATCTAAATTCATTTAAATGAATTACTTATTTTATTTTGTTTTGTATATGTGTATCCAGAGAGGTTTGCCTGCTCTTTACTTTGCAAGTTGTGTAGAACCTGTCAACTTGTTTTTGTATACTTATTGAAAATTAATTAAGAAAATATTGTTAAAAAAACTAAATAACACTTAAATTTTTTCATTTTCACAAGAACAACATAATTAACAACAACATCCCGCTTTTTGGTTCGATCTAAGACACACTTTGATCCGTTAGAAAACTTGAAAACATTTGAGCCCATTCAGTCCAAATCAAACCAAACCAAACCACTGCCAACAGCGCCCCCTGCTGGTGGCGGCCATGTTTGAAATCAAATATGCAGACAATACAAGACGCGAAACTCGAATTTTCAGATATGTGGAACGTAATTACTCGCTATCGCGTGTGCTTTTCTTATCAGCAAGGACACATT